TCTGTTATATATTTCAGAGAGTTTATTCATTTGTGTGTTTGTTTATCTGTGTTTCTGTCTGCCCCCAGCTGGGGACAGGAACCCCTCTCCCAGCTATGCCTGCTGCAGCCGCTGCGGCCACGGAGAGGCACTTCTCATCTGGCCCCAAACTGCTATGGTGAGAGAGTGCTGGAATTGTCCTCTCTCTCAAGGGCAGCCTACACCTGAATCACCCTTCACCAGCCCCACCCCAGAGCAATGATTTAAATGAGGAAAACCAAAAATTGTTGGAGTTAAGAACCTGAGTAATGTTGGATAAGTCTCCCAGTAAGGACAATATTTATATTCCAATGATTAATTTTATAATTACATGGTGAAAATTGAGAAAGTCTGCAATTGTTCAGTAACTGTGTTGTGACACTTTTACTTTCATATCTGATTTTATAAGCAAGTAGGTTTCAAGTGAGTTGAAACATGGGAGTACACATGTCAGACTCCTCAATGGCGTGCACTTGCCTGAAAAGATTTAGAGTAACTGTCATAGGGGACAGAGAATGCAAAAGCTATTGCACCATATAGTCCTGTCTTTTCATGGAAGACATGATATGGCCCACATAGCCTTCATATATACAATTTCAGACAAATACTTAAGCCAGGGCACGACTGTATTCGCTCTAAGAATCCCACTGAAATCAATGAGATTATTCACAGTCAGCATACGTATTAGTGTTTACCAGACTACAACCATAAATCTACAAATGCATCTTAATTTTTTTTTGTACACATGGGCTAAGATGATATGCAGAAGATAAGAAGATACATTTAGATGTACATTTCAAAAACATGTATGCTATTTTTTCCCCTGTGGTTCAATGAGCCAGGAAGCCCATTAACAAAGCGTAGCCGTTGTATGGTAAAACTGTTCAACAACAAGTTATCACACACAACAAGAAAATAAACAGCTTTGCTTAGTGACAAACAAAACAAGAACAGCAAGTAGAAACTGGCCACAGGCAGGTGCAAATCTCCCAGCAGCCAGCTCTCAGCTTTTGCAAATGGTTTTGATGCTCACCGCACTGACACCCTGCCCCCTCCAAAAAAGCCCAAATAAACAAGCAAAGCAAAACAACAAGCTAACTATAAAAAATAAAAATAAGAAAAAACCCTAAGCCATCAAAACGCTTTCCTGCAACAAATCAGCCTAACTAAACAAACCAAAATGTAAAATAATAAAATCTAATCTATAAAAAACAAAATCCCAACCCCAAATTGAGATTTTATCCCCACTAGAGAGGAGATCCAGAGACTTACTAAAGCCCACAAGACATTTTGCTATTTCTGTTACTTCTACACATCAGGTACTCCGATATAGTAGGTGTGCGGTTCATGATAAAACCTGGAGATACACAACTGATCTATGTTAAAAATACTCAACATTCTGGATTGCGGCCTGCCATTAATTTTTACACTATAGGGACACACACTTCAAAGTGTGTCCAAAGTGCAGTCGGGTCAATTTTTCAAATATAGAAGAAATGGGATGTGGAATTAGCCCTTTTCTTTCCTGGAAGGTCCCTTTTGGGTGAGAGAGCATATTTATTAGCTGCAGCAAACACTGGCTAATTAAAAGCACAACAATTCTTTGTGTGGGGCTGAGATATTCTAACAAAGGGGTTTTGCATAGCAGATTCCTATGTATCAAATGAAAAAATGTGCTCCTAAAGGTTCGGCTATTCCAGCTGGCCTTTCTAAAACTTATCAGAAAAGCCTGGACCCTGGGTAGGGACTTTTTATCACAGAAATAAAAATTCTAATGCCAGTAGTAGCTGTAAACTTTCCCTTCACTTTTAATATCCAGCGGACTTTCATTAGCGAAGATCAATTTGATACAAAAGAAATTCAACTGAGTAAAATACTCTCCATTTCCTTTAGCTGAACTAAAGGAAATTCTATGGTTTTATTGAAGTTTTTTAAAAATGTGAGGATTTTTATTTTAAATACAAATAGGTAGATTTAGTACAGTGAAAGGAGAGAATGAGGAACAGGTAGAGCACAATCTTCTTTCATGCAGCCCGGCCAACATGTCGGAATTGCTTCTTTTTTACAATTATAGCAGGAATTATTGGCTTGACTGATTGGAATTTCATGTGTGCATTACATCATTACCATACCTGTGCCATAAATGTCTAAAGTACAACAGAATTAATTAACAACAACAACAACAATAATATAAACATCATTGGGATAAAGTGGTCTCCGCATTGCCTGCTATTTGGTGTTCAGGCCATAGTATCACTCCTGGTCCCATTGGGATGCAATGCAACATACAAGTGATTAATTAGGTCAGAAAAGTTCTGAAGTTATTTTTACAAAACATTCAGATTGCTCTATTTTTTAGGAGATTGGCAAATATGTTACATTCTCAGCATGTCATATGGTTTTAGGCCATCCATAAACAATCAAATAGCTGCATAAAAAAAAAGAATATTGAAGCCAAGTCCCAATTAGATTGATCACCTAAAATGTAAAACACACCAGGTGTTTTTAAAATTTAAACTTGCCTATTAACCATCCACAGCTACTCTTTATAATGTTTTACATTTCTATGCACCACGACAAAAGCAACAGACAAGCTGTAGCAGCTGTCTGCTAAGTTTCCTGGATGTTGAAATAATCTTGGTCTCATAAATGGGACATGGGCTAATGAGGTGTGTGTGGCTGTTTGTGCCATACTGCATTCAACTTCCCATGGAGACGGACAGCAAGGAGACATGATTTTCAAATGAATTTTTAAATATTCAAATAGGGAAGATGGCCATGTTTCCGAATACGCGACCAAAAAGGGTTTACAACAAAGGAATTGGAATATTGCAGTTTGCATTTCAGATCTTTTTCTCTCTTCATAATTTTGAATGTTATTGCCAGGAACATGCATTAGGCACAGAGCTATGTGACCCACAATTAGTTTGTTTCTAAACTGGAGTCACCCTACCACATTTCCATTTTCTTTCATTGCTTTCCTCCGAGGCCTCTTCCCAAAACATTTATTTCATCTATGATAATAATTAAACAAGGTGAGGTATTTGTCACATTACCTCCACTTTCATAGGCTACAACAAGCCTCTTTGATAATTTCCTCTGAATTTTGTTTAAATAGCAGGGGGAACCTCCCCGGGCATGGTGACACATCTGATCCTCTTTATTGGGGCTAACATCCCCCAAATACATAAGACATCTCAAACCCTGAAGCACAGAAAATAATCCACGTCTGTTTCGGTTCAAAGAGGGGCTTGTTCCAGCCGTCCAATTATGAGATGAAAGATTCCATTTGAAATACACACTCTGTTGTCGCGGAGTCAGACCTGGAATTTGTCGTTTAATGAATTTTAAAGGCAACTGAATATGATTCCCCCTGGTTTGCCCTGCTGGTTGTCAGAGTCAGAGTTCAAATGGGTCTGTTAATATCTCCTGGCCCTCTCTTTTCTCAGGCATGTTGCCCCCACAGAACTTTAAGAGGAAATATGACATCCTCCTCTCCACGTGATAAAGTCTTTCATCAAGAGATCCATTTACTAGCAGGCATCTACCATTCTCACAGCATCATGACTGAAGAAAGCCAGAAAATGTCCTACCAGATCGTTGCGATGATTTTAGTCTGTCTACAGAGTAAGTATTTTAGCCTGGTATTTCATGATTGTTCTCTACCTTGCTACAAAAAAATTACTTTTATGTTCTGAACTGCAGGTAACAGCAAGAGAGGCTGATGGGGAGACCTAAACAGTCAGATATTTTATTCACTAACTGAAATCCTAAGACAGAGAATGAAATAATGTGTTGTGCTAACAACCCCTTGCACACAGTTTCACCTTTTGGATATTGTAATGCATTGTTGGTCAAAATCCAGTTCTCTCTTAAGCGTGTGTATTTTATGTAGGCATCACGGGGAAGTATTTGTTTTTAGGTAATCAAAAAGATAATTTTAAGCCTGAATGTCTAAGATAATAAAGTGCTTCCTTCTGGGCAAGATTTTGATCAAATAACATTAATTTTATTATTTTTAACTCTGATTCAAGGTTTCTATTAGGACATTTGAGTTTTATTCACAGTCATCTCACTGATTTGTGGGACAGTGGCTATGCCTCTTCATTAACCTGTGATAGTTTCTCCATCTATGCACAGGGATAATATTTCAGGAACATTGCGAGGCTTAGCTCATTCACATCTGTAAAGCACTTTGAATACCGTGTGACCGGTTCCAAGTACCCAATATTATTACGGTGACCAGAGAGGAAGTGTGAAAAATCGGTCTGCTTTTTTGAGGAGAGGGATTATAGTTACAGATATAAGACAACCCTAATTTTGATTCGGTCCTAATATCGGTATGTCAGGTTACATACCGATACATTTTATTTATTATGGCTGTGAGGCTTAATTAATTGTGATAAGTGCTTTGAGGAGAGGTTGATGTAGATGTGCAAAAGGATTGGTTAGTGTCTATATATGAAGAGTGATTATTGTTTCTGTTACAGCTATGTGGCACCTGAAAATTTGGTAAAACTACTATGCCAGAAAAAAAACTCAGCAATGTCTGTTTTAATTATACTAAAAAAGGCTAAAAAAATAAATAACTACAAAAATAAGTTCCTCCAGCCCCCAATTTTTAAAATTAGGGGCTTTTTGCTTGCATCGGATGTGCTATATTTAATACATTGCAAAGGGTGAATCTCCAACAAGGGATTCTTGTATTTGTGTTTTTTGTGTGCTCCTCTTTACAGTGACTGCTTCACAGGAAGGGATCTGGATCCAACAGAGCCCGGCCCAGATTGAACTGACCCCTGGAAAATCTGCACGGATAGACTGTAAGCTCTCAGCCGGGATAGCAGCTGTATTGTGGTACAAAGAACTTCAGAATGGAAGCTTGCATGGGATTTTCCAGAGTTATAAGAATGCACCTGCACAAGGAAAATACTCGAGTGAGGTGAACGAGGCATCGGACACATTTTCTCTGATTATCAAGGACGCACAAAGAAACGACTCCGGGGTGTATTACTGTGGCCTAGCTGCATATGCATATCCGAACTTCGGGAGTGGGACCAGACTAATTGTCACAGGTGAGTGTCCAGTGGGTTGGGAAAATGTCATTCCGGAGGCCTGAGGGGTTCGAGCAGAGCTGGAGCTAGGCATTTTAGCCCCCGCCGGCTGAGTCCTACTGGAGTTGCTGTCTCTTCTTGGTGGCTGGGCTGGCCAGGGAATGCCCCTGCTATTATTTCCTGTCCTGAGATGGCAAGCCGTAGCGAGCCGTATTGGGGAGGTGGAGCTCGGCTGAGTCATGTTCCTCCCGGCCCATCTGCCCCTGAGACTTTCCCAGACAGGCTCCTCTGGGGATAAAAACAGCTGCAGGGCATGGAGGTGGCTCACACCTGAGCCAAGTTTCCAAACGCAGATTCCCAAGAACCAGCCCCTACCGCTCGCCCAGCCCATGAGTGAGCCCCCTGCACCAGCCAGTGCCTGGTTTCCGGAGGAGGGGGTGGTGGTAGCACTGTGCCGACTTGGGGCAGCTGGCTGCGTTCATTGCGTGAGTGGATCCAGGAGTGGGGTCACCAGGATGCCTGAAAGCTGGGGGGCAGCTAGGACCCGCCCCCGGACTCTTGGACAAAGGGTCAGGGGCCTGCAGGGGAGGGAAAGGACAAGGGGGGCTCAGGGGAGGTGCAGATCAGCTGGGGGAGGGGAAGCAGCTGGGAAGCCCAGAGCTGTGGTCAAAGAGGAGCATGCAAGGCCTGGATGGGGAGATCTTGAAGGTCGCTGGAGGGCTTGGCAGAGCCTTTGGACCCTTGTGAGGACAGAGCTGATGGTACAGGAGGGAGCTGAAGTGTTATTGGAGGAGGTTTTGGAATTAATTGATAAGCTTAACAGTAACAAGTTACCAGGACCAGATGGCATTCACGCAAGAGTTCTGAAAGAACTCAAATGTGGAATTGCACAACTATTAACTATGGTTTGTAACCTATCCTTTAAATAAGCTTCTGTACCCAATGACTGGAAGACAGCTAACATAATGTCAATATTTAAAATGCGCTCTAGAGGCGATCCTGGCAATTACAGACCGGTAAGTCTAACATCAGTACTGGGCAAATTAGTTGAAACAATAGTAAAGAATAAAATTGTCAGACACATAGAAGAACATAATTTGTTGGGGGAAAGTCAACATAATATCTGTAAATGGAAATCATAGCTTACTAATCTGATACAATTCTTTGAAGGAGTCAACAAACATTGATAAAAGGGACCCAGTAGATATAGTGTATTTAGATTTTCAGAAAGCCTTTGACAAGGTCCCTCACCAAAAGCTCTTACACAAATTAGTTATCGTGGGATAAGAGGGAAGATCCTTTCATAGATTGAGAACTGGTTAAAAGACAGGAAATAAAGTGTAGGAATAAATGGTAAATTTTCAGAATGGAGAAGGGTAATTAGTGAGGTCCCCCAAGAGTCAGTCCTAGGACCAATCCTATATAACTTATTCAAAAATGAACTGGAGAAAGGGGTAAAGAGTAAGGTTGCAAAGTTTGCAGACGACACTAAACTGCTCAAGATAGTTAAGACCAAAAAAGACTCTGAAGAACTTCAAAAAGATCTGATAAAACTAAGTAATTGGGCAACAAAATGGCAAGTGAAATTTAATGTGGATAAATGCAAAGTAATGCACATTGGAAAAAATAACCCCAACTATACATACAATATGATGGGGGCAAATTTAGCTACAACCAATGAAGAAAGAGATCTTGGAGTCATTGCAGATAGGTCTCTGAAGACATCCACGCAATGTGCAGTGACAGTCAAAAAAGAAACAGGATGTTAGCAATCATTAAAAAAGGAATAGAGAATAAGATGGAGAATATCTTATTGCCCTTATAAAAATCCATGGTATACCCACATCTGGAATACAGCATATAGTTGTGGTCTCCTCATCTCAAAAAAAATATACTGGCATTAGAAAAGGTTCAGAGAAGGGCAACTAAAATGATTAGGGGTTTGGAACAGGTCCCATATGAGGAGAGATTAAAGAGACCTGGACTTTTCAGCTTGGAAAAGAGGAGACCAAGGGGGGATATGATAGAGCTCTATAAAATCATGAGTGGTGTGGAGAAGGTGAATAAGAAAAAGTGATTTACTTGTTCCCATAACATAAGAACTAGGGGCCACCAAATGAAATTAATGGGCAGCAGGTTTAAAACAAATAAAAGGAAGTTTTTCTTCACTCAGCGCACAAGCAACCTCTGGAACTCATTCCCTGAGGTTGTGAAGGCTAGGACTAAAATGGTTTAAAAGAGAACTGGATAAATTCATGGAGGTATGTCTCGATTTCAGGCTTTTGTTGACAGAGGCTTTGTCGACAGATACTGTTGACAAAGTTTCAGTTGACAAAGAGCATCTAGACTGCATCCAGTTCTGTCGACACAGCAAGCCGCTTTGAAGACATGAGAGTGTAGATGCAAAGGACAGTGTAGATGCAATAACGCCTTCTGTCGACAGAATTCTGTCGACAAACAGCGTTATTCCTCGTAGAATGAGGTTTACCGCCGTCAACAAAACTGCCAAGTTCTGTCGACGTTATGTCGACAGAACTCGGCGGTAGTGTAGACACAGGTATAGTTTTGTCGACAAAAGGCAATTTTGTCGACAAAAACCTGTAGTCTAGACACACCCTTAATGGCTATTAGCCAATATGGGTAAGGAATGGTGTCCCTAGCTTCTTTTTGTCACAGGGTGGAGATGGATGGCAGGATAGAGATAATTGATCATTCCCTATTCAGTTCACTCCCTCTGGGGCATCTGGCATTGGCCACTGGGGGCAGACAGGATATTGGGCTGAATGGACCTTTGGTCTTACTCAGTATGGCCGTTCTTATGTTCTTCTCTGATCTTTCCTTTCCACCCATTTTCCTGCCCTCTGCATCTCTGTACCCTGGGCAGCTGCCCCATCCTGGCTACAGCCCTGGTTCTGAGACAGAACCGTGGACTCTTACCCCCCACCCACTTAAAGCCCCATTTCAGTTTCGAGTCCTCAGTGTTCATGCCGAGATGGAAAACGATCCTGGTAGTGGATGCCATATGAGACTGTGAATCAGGAAATCTACCTTGTCATCTTGAAATGCTGGTTTCCCAGCAGGCCACAACCAAAAGAGGGTGATCAGTCTCACTTGCCTTTGCAGAATGCTTTGAGATCTATCCGCTGTTGAGAGGCACTTTGGTATGAATCATTATTCTCTGGCCTTCTGCTACTTACACTGCCTGGTTGTGCCTCATCAAAGTCTCCTGAGTCTGGGGTGTGATGTGTCATCCTGCTGGCCTTATACACCTGTATTAATCTAGCTCTTTATGAGACCTTCGTTGCTCTTCCTGAAATGATTGCCACCAGGTGGCTTGAACAGGGCAACCTCGAACAGGGCAGCAGGAGTTGAACATGCAAATAGGACGCAGTAAAGAGGGGTCTGATTTTTGAGTCTTCTTCCTCGGCAGGCACCCAGAACTCTGAGACAGTCCAGAAGCGGTGGACAAAGGAGTGTAATAGGATGAAATTGATAAGAGAACTCCGCCTTCATGCAAGAAAAGTCCCATAATTTAAAACTTGGAGACTAGACTAGCCAATGCACAAGATAAATTGAACTACGGGCGGGGCAGGAGCTGGGGGGAGGGGAACTAGCTGATCTATCACTGGCAGGTCTTACCAGTCTCTTGTTTCTGACACTTTTAGATGCCTCTGAGACAAGACTTTCCCTCCTGGTTCCCTCCACCTGGGAGGACACTGAGCTTCCCCACGATGTGCCCCTGCTCTGCCTGATCTCGGATTTCACTCCCTCCTGGAGCGTTGTCTGGGACACCGGAGAGGGGAATTCGGAGGGCCAGACAGATGCTGGAGCCATAGACGGGGATGGGATCTACAGTGTCTGGAGCCTAACCACAGTCAAGTCTGAGAGGTGGAACCAGGAGACAATCTGGACTTGTACAATCAAAGACAACAGTACGGCAAGAAACATCAGTGCTACCATTGCCAAGAACACAGGTCCTGTATTGTACCCTATCTAACCTGCTCTCTCATTTACACTGTGCTCATCGTCATGTTTTCTGGTGGAAACTTCACCTCAAGTCAGCACAGATATACCGATTTAAAGGGTTACTGCAGTGCCAAAGAACTAAAATGAGGCAGCGTGGGGACTAGGCATAAAAAATACCCATCTAGAACAGTTTTTCTTAAGTTTTTTGAGACCACGGAACACAAAACAATAATATCTCTCTATGTAGAACACCTATAAAAACTTTCTTAAAAAAAATTGTTGTCAGAGAAAAAAAAGACAAAAATAAAGAAGTAACAAAAACAAAGAAGAGGTCACAGCATACCTGCAAGTTCATGTAACACCGGTGTTCCATGGAACATAGTTTAAGAAACACCGACCTAGAGGGCTTAACTTGTAGGAAAGACATGGTGGATCAGATTTATCTTTTATTGGACAAGGCCGACCTACTCAGAGCTCTTCTTCAGGTCCGTGTAGCTAAAAAGCTTGTCTCTCTTGCCCACAGAAGTTGGCTCAGTAGGAGATATTACCGCACCCACCGTGGCTCTCTGAGGGTATGTCTAGAATACATGCTTCTGCCGATAGAGGCATGTAAATTAGACTACCTGAGATAGTCAATGAAGCGGGGATTTAAATATCCCCTGCTTCATTAAAATAAAAATGGCTGCCGCGCTGTGCCAGCTCAGCTGATTGTCGGCACAGCACGGCAGTCAAAATGTGGATGGGTCAACAGGTAGCGCCTTTGTCGACCGCTCCCTTATGCCTCATGAAATGAGGTTTACAGGAGCGAAGGGAGCGAAGGGAGCCCCTGTTGACCGATCCGCCTCTTCACTGCCGCACTATGCCGATGATCAGCTAAGTGGGCACAGCGCAGCAGCCATTTTTTTTTAATGAAGCCGGGGATATTTAAATCCCTGCTTCATTGACTATGTCGGGTAGTCTAGACATACCTTCGTATCCTGGGAGCCATATGGCTACCGCAGCGAATTGAGACAGCCCATTACGGCAACTCCTTCTTTCCTGCCTTTCCTCACTCTTTCACAAAACCATTTTTCAGCTGTATTCACTGAGCAGCGGTAAGAGGTAGGGCTGTGTCAAACCTGCCCTGACATCTTTCTCCTTGCAGGCCTGCTTGAAACCCTATTGAAGTCAATGGAAAGATTTTTATTGGCTTGACTCAGTCTTGTGTCCGGCCCTGTTCTCCCTAGTGTGGTAGGAGTGTAAATGCCACGGAGACAGGAGGGTGATTTGGGGTCTCTAGAATAATGGGGGCGAACTGAGCCAATAAATAAATGAATAAATAAATTGAAATGAATGCCCAGGATTCCCAGTAGTGGGATCTCTTGAGCTGTGGGATTGTCTGTCACATGCATTAAGAGGTGTGTTGTGAGCAAGACACGAGAAGTCATTCTTCCGCTCTACTCTACACTAGTTAGGCCTCAGTTGGAGTATTGTGTCCAGTTCTGGGCACCGCATTTCAAGAAAGATGTGGAGAAACTGGAGAGAGTCCAGAGAAGAGCAACAAGAATGATTAAAGGTCTTGAGAATATGACCTATAAAGGAAGGCTGAAAGAACTGGGTTTGTTTAGTTTAGAAAAGAGAAGATTGAGGGGGGGACATGATAGTAGTTTCAGGTAACTAAAAGGGTGTTATAAGGAAGAGGGAGAAAACTTGTTCGTCTTGGCCTCTGAGGATAGAACAAGAAGCAATGGGCTTACACTGCAGCAAGGGAGGTTTATATTGGACAGTAGGAAAAAGTTCCTACCTGTCAGGGTGGTTAAACACTGGAATACATTTCTCAGGGATGTTGTGGAATCTCCATCTCTGGAGATATTTAAGAGTAGGTTAGATAATTGTCTATCAGGGATGGTCTAGACAGTATTTGGTCCTGCCGTGAGGGCGGGGGGCTGGACTCGATGACCTCTCAAGGTCCCTTCCAGTCCTAGTATTCTATGAGTCTATGACAGGGATGAAGCCCTGTTTACAGTAGGATTTGATAAAGCTTAGGGTTAAACCAAGGGTGGGGAACCTAAGGGCTTGCCTGGATCTACCCCTCTCACCCAAGGCTCGGGCTCTGTCCCCCAGCACTGGGGAGCTTCTGCTAGAGCTCCAATCCCACAGTCTTGCCACCCCTCTCCCCCGCATGGAGCTAGAGCGCCAGCTTGGGCTCCCTGTAGTGAGGGGAACAGCTGTGAGCCTCATGGGCTGGACTCAGGCAAGCCAGAGCCAGAACCGATCCATGGCTCTGCCTGTTGGGGTGAGGAAACAGCTTTATGAATTGTCTCTCTCCCTGCCCCCGGCTGGCACAGCAAACCACTGCCTGAAGGCTTTTCCCCCACAAAATCTACTAGATCAGGCCCCTGTAAGCTCTGCTGTGCAAGGGGAATTTGGGGAGAGTCTTTCTGATTCTCAGTCAGGGGCCATGTCAGTGATTATTTTGTTTTTGTTTTGCTTCGCTTCTCACTTTTCTGCGGCCGCGACCGATTTTTCTGCGGGTCAACAGACCCCAACCCAAAATGGTTCCCCACTGCTGGGTTAAACGATAGGGCTAGGCAGGGAAGTGAACTCCATGAGACCTACAATAGGCCTGTGCTCTCTCTAACATTTATGATGCTACGATGTTCCCTAAACCGATTTTCATTCTAAGTGCATTTACCTCACCACGGACCTCAGTGGGACAGTGATTCTCAGACTGGATCCATGATTGTCAGGATAAAATAAATCACCACGTGTGGTAAAATAATTGACAGTGCAGGCAAGCAGAATTAATAAATACACATACTTAGCTTACCGCAGGCAACCAGTGGCTCGAATCCAACGCTGAACAGTTAAATGGCCCCCCAGAGGCCACCTCCAGGTGGGGAGAATGACAATGCCTTGAGGCAGTGGATTTTGGAGGAAAGGCCTCACTTCTGGGCATGCCATGCAGCTGACATGGACCCCACGCCTTTTAATGGGATTTTTCCACTGCTCAGCACCGAACATTATTCTCCTCTCTCTGCAGATGAGGCCGGGGAAGGAATCTGTGATTATGTGTTATATTTGGGCCTGCTTTGTATTTTCATCCTTGTCATCATCCAGCTGATGATCCTGCTCTTCAGGAAGCGTCTCACCAGAGGTAACTTGTTTATAACTCTACCTGCTCCACAGCAGCCCTTCATCGCATGTCTTGTAACCGTCCTTTCCTTCTTCTCCAGCAGGGAGAGCTGTGAAAACAGGGAAGCAAATGCCCATGAGGCAGATTCCACAGGTAAAGTGGTTTTTTTAGTCACAGGCACGTAAGAAAGATACAACCAATTAACAGGGTATTTAGCTAGTTCTCCTGGGCAAATTCCGGTACTACAGTCCAACTATCTGATACGACTTTGTAGGGTTTCAGAGGGATAGCCCTGGGAGTCTGTATCTTAAAAAAAACTTCAGACAAAGAGGTGGGTTGTGTTCGTGAAAACTCCTTCTTTTGTCGGTCTCTATGGTGCTACAGGAGCACTCGTTGTTTTTTTTACTTTGTTGGGTTGCCTGTGTAGAATTGCTATTGTACAGGTTGAATCTCTCTAGTTCGGCACCCTCGGGAGCTGATCAGTACCGAACCAGAGAATTTGCCGGGCCACAGGAGGTCAATATTGTCTAGCAGCATTACCAACACTTGTTGGGCTCTTAGAAGACATTTATGAATAAATTAGAGCTAAAGAACATCACAGAATCATGAGAGTCAAACCTGGTGGCTGTCAACAAACTTCATGAGACTGCAGAAAACTTGGCCACACTCACAATAAGTGAACATCTGGCTAACTACAATCATGTCAGACCATGGATTTACCCAGACCAAGAAGAGCCGTACTAGAAAGGTTTTAACTATGTTACCACCTGTCTAAGGGGCTACCCATCACTGGTGGATGAGGCAGTACTTGATAGGTCTCTATGAGTTTTACATGGACCAGGAAAAAAAACTGAACAAATGACTGCATACGTCCAAATGTTGCTTTGAGTTTCATGGGCATAAATCGAGAGTTACTCCCCATCGGTATTAGTGGAGTTTCTCAGATCCGCACTGGTGTCTCATAATTCAAAAACAGGGCAACTGATGGCCAGGAAACCTTTTTTAAAAAAATCACACTGAGGCTCAGTCTAGTGTTAAAACATTTAATCCTTCTAGGATTTTGAGAAGAGCGAAAACAGGAATTGAGAATGGAATGGCTCTAAGGACAGATTCTTGTAGCAGATGCCCCGATACTAGTCCAGTCTCACGGATTGCCCTGTGGTAACTGAAATGAGAATTTAGCTTGTGGTTACTACTGAAATTTTTGGAGATACATGTTTCTGTCATTTTCAAACCCCATTGAGTTCAGAGAAGTTAGTGGGGGTTTATACCAGCATAGATTAGATCCCAAATCGAACCTCTTGTCTATAAAACACCTCTACAGAAAATTCTTCCCTCTACACATAACATTGAAGGAATTACATTGACTTCAGAGCAGTTACTTTAGTTTTACATCACTGAGAGTAAGAATAGAATTTGGTTTCTTTTCTTGTTATCTAAAAAATGGTATTAGCTAATTGTATGATGTTATAGATTCACATTAAGACTATTAATATCTGGTATCTACTTTTTCTGTTCCAGACTGAATATGCAGCTGTGAGGTACAATAAATGAAAACTCCCTTTTTAACTGATGTGGTCTGATAAATTTATTTCTAGGGTTTTTTAAAAAGCGCTGTACAAGAGGAAAAAAATGAAAGTGAAAAGATACATTCTGAGTCTAATTAATTACTAAGATGTGAAATGCTTGGGCTTAAAATACAACTTCTTGTATATGTATCTGTCTCCAAACCCTTTTTGTCACCACATATTTAAAGAAATAGTTTTCTTTTTGGTTATTATTGAGAATTACTTGTTTTGTTATCCCCACATCCTGCACCATTCTTGTCTGTGGGGGCTTTCCCCTTGACTTCTATGAGCATAGGGTCAAACTTTTAAATGGGATTGTTTAACACAGGAGATTTAATCCTAGATTCCTTCTGTCCTACAAAGTCCCACTGAAGTAGACGGGATCTTGGACTACACCAGAAAGCAGAACAGAGCTTTAAGATTTATGACGTTTCATAGATTTATGATGTTCGCATAGAGAGTACAATTGTTAAATTTGCAGATACCAGGCTGAAAGGGGTTGCAAGTGCTTTGGAGGGCAGGGTCATAATTCAAAATGATCTGGACAAACTGGAGAAATGGTCTTAACTGAATAGGATAAAATTCAATAAGGACAAATGCAAAGTGCTCCACTTAGGAAGGAACAATCCGTTTCACACATTCAGAATGGGACATGACTGTCTAGGGGAGTCATAGTGGACAACAAGTTAAATATGAGTCAACAGTGTGACACAGATGCAAAAAAAGCAAACGTGATTCTGGGATGCATTAACAAGCATGTTGTGAGCAAGACATGAGAAGTCAGTCTACCCCTCCACTCTGCACTGATTAGGCCTGTCATGGCTAAATCCCCATTCTGGCATGATATATGCAGAAGTGGGGGCCTGCAAAAGTATCCAAAAACCTTCTCTTTCCAGGTTTTGGTGTAAAGCTTCCTCCCATAATCTTAAAACGTTATATTTGAGAATAAAATCCGCTCCCACCACACAAGTAATGATAAGGAAACCAGGGAGAGACCACTTGGGAAATCTCAGCCCCAAAAGTAAAAACCAGGACACAAAAATTAACCAATACCAGGTTAATACAAAGAAAAGAGAAAGAACTTTTATTATCACCACAATATTCTTGTTGCAAGCATAATGACCAGATGGAAAAATCAAATTAATATACTCATGGGGGAAACCCCACCATGGGCCAAAAACTTAATTACAAAGGAAAGCAAAACACATTTTTAAATGTACAGACATCAGATTCCCATTCCCAAACCATAAAACAATAAACCCAAATGGATTTATCTAAACTGTACCCTACTTACAGATAGTGAAGAGTTCATTCTTGGAGGGAGACATAGTGTCTGTCTCCCTCAGTAGCTGGAGAGAAACTGCCTCAGAGACAAAGGAGGGAAAACCCCAAAATTTCTTTGCCCGTTTGAAATTCCTACCTACATTCCTATTGGCCAACTCTACCTGGCTTAGGTATAGTTAACCCCTTAGTCCCCAGGCTGCTGGCTAACCCTCATGATCATGACAAGGCCACAGTTGGAGTTTTGTGTCTAGTTCTGGTCACCACATTTCATGAAAGATGTGGAGAAGTTGAAGAAGGTCCAGAGAAGAGCAACAGGAATGATTAAAGGACTAGAAAACGACTTATGACGGAAGACTGAATGAATTGGGCTTGTTTAGCTTGGAAAAGAGAAGACTGAGAGGGGACATGAGAGCAGTTTTCAAGTATCTAAAAGGGTGTTCGAAGGGGGGGCGGGGAAATCGTTCTCCTTGGCCTCCAAGGATAGGACAAGAAGCAATGGGCTTAAATTGCAGCAAAGGTGGCTTAGGTTGGACATTAGGAAAAACTTCCTGTCAGACTGGTTAAACACTGGAATAAATTGTCTAGGGAGGTGGTGGAATCTCCTTCACTGGAGATATTTAAGAGCAGGTTGGACAGACACCTGTCAGGAATGGTCTAGACCCATGGTCACCAACAGGTCAATCACGAGGCCTTGACCAGTCGATCGCGAGACGTCCTGTCCACCCACCCCCCGAGAAGCCCCACTACCTACCTCAAGTGAAAATGGAGATAGTGTCGGCTTCCCAAGGATGAACAGAAGTCCTGCAGCTTAGCGTCACTTCCGGTGATGCTGGAAGTGGGCTTTCTGCTCTGCCAGGCACTGCGGGAGGGAGCTTCAGCTCCCTACACTGCACAGGAGGGGTGAGTCGGTCCCGGGTCAGGTGCGTGCGGGGTTTCCCTGCACCGTTGGGAGGGGTGCTGGCCCCAGGGCAGGCGCACACGAGGTTTTTCTGTGCCATGCAGGGGAGGAAGGGGGGATGTTTCAGCCCTGGGACAGGCCCACGCAGGCATTTTCCTGCGCCACGGGTGGGCAGGCTTCGGCCCCGGTGCAGGCACATGTGAGGGGGTAGGGTCGCCCCCAAGGGCTCACCTGAGTGGGCTTCCCCACTCGGCGGGAGGGGTTGGGGCTGGCACAGGCATACAACGGGGCTTCCTTCCTTCACAGGGGAGGAGGGTCGGCCCTGGAGGAAGCTCGTGATGGAGGCTTCCCTCCGTGGCTGGTGTAGAGGACTCCCTGCCCCCGAACCTTGTTCCCTCTCCCCTGTCCCAAACCTGTCCCCTGCCTTCCTGCCCCCCTCTGTGGAAACCTGTCCCCCACTGGCACCCTGGCCCTTGCTGCAGAAACCTGTCCTTCTGGGACCCTGCCCCCTCTCCCCTGCCCCCACTGGCACCCTGTTCCCTGCCCCAGAACCCACTAGCACCTCTCCCCAGTACTGTGTCCCCTGCTCCCAACTGACTTTTCTATGGGTTAGTGACCCCTGACTCAAGGCAGGTTCCCTGCCATTCTCATAAATAAAGACAATGCAGAAACTTTTTGTGTTTGACATAGTATTTTATTTAAAAATGAAGCCTTTGCCAACAAACCCCCAATTTGGGCCAAATCCCTAGACGGTCGGCTTGGTCCTGCCGTGAGGGCAGTGGACTGGACTCAATGACCTTTCGAGGTCCTTTTCACTTCTAGAATTCTAGGATTATCGCTGCATAATCTCCAATTATTATCACTTAAAAATATTATGTACATTTTTTACATTTGTATTTTTAATTACTCCAGCTTTGTGCACATAACACATAGCCTGGCACAAGAGTTTTAGATCTGACTTTTGCTCAGTAGTAGGCTGCCTGCCGCAAACAGTAAATCTGAAGCCCTGCATGAATTGGCTGGTAAGCATCATAGCAAATCATAAACTAAGCTTATCTACTGGTACAAGAAATAAAGAAATACCTGTATCCCACTGCCATCTAGTGGTGAGGAGGCAAAAAGACTTTTCCCAGTTATACCAAGACCCTTTTAAACTTTGGAAAGATCCTGTAAAGTAGGTTAAAGACAAATGTACAGGGGGGGATGAACCAGTTTAAAAGTCTTGTTGGCACTAATTGGGAGGCAGGTAGGAAAGCACCAGACCAAATATTATTGTTAAGCTTTTAGGTCAGTGTCAAATCCAGAACTTAAACAATGACAAGTCCAGGCACTATAGCTTGCATGACGTGTGTTTATTACAGCGCCTCTGCAAAGCCAAAAACCCAGGTTGTTGGCAGGAGGGCTTGAACTTGGGACTTAGGCCATGTGCCTCTACCACATAAGCTAAACGCTATCTGACCCTTAGCCAAGGCTTTAGAGCAGAC